GGAAGAAAAGCAATGACTGAAGCTACTGCTTTGTTTTAGCTTCTGTTGTGCAAAGCTGAGCAGCAGTCATGTCCAGATACCTGTGGTGAAAATCTCACAAGGCAGTTTTCAGTAAAACTCTCCTGACATTTTTCAGTTTTAATAATTTAGAGGAGTGCAAGCACTGTATTGATGTGTAACATATGGCAGCTTTTTTCAGTGGTCTTTAAGGAAGCTGAGACCTGTGACTTCCTAGCCTTTTACATGACTTGGTTACAAAGTACTTCCCAGTTTGAGGATGACAGAGAAGTCTGTAGAGTGATGCCCTCAGGAAAAACAAACAAAAAAAAAGGTTGCTAGGGACAGCCTTTGTACTGGAGAGAAGCATCTTCTAACACAAAGGAAAAGTGATGGACATCTCCAAAAACTTTCCTTATTTAAAAAGTGAGGGATATAAAAAGGTCTCTGGCCAGTTGTTCGCTCTTAAAATCCTGTGTAATTGTATTTCTTCTGCTGACTGTTGCATTCAGTCTCACTTCCTGGGAATACATACATCAGGCAGAGCTGTTCATTTTAGAGAGTACAAGACTAATCTGTTTCTGCAGGATGTTTTCTGAGCATGCTTCCTCTTTATATAAGGAATTCAAAGGAGTGATGATCTCCATGTGCACGTCCTTTTCAGATTCCTGTATCTTATGCAGGACACAGTTTTAACCCCCACAGTGAGCCTTTCTTAGGCTGAACAGTTTTCTGAGCCTACTCAAAATACTCTTTTCCATCACTTTTCAAACAAACCCAGAGTGACTGATGGAGTACCGGAGGTGTATAAATGAGGGTGAAATAAACAGCAATGAGCAAAGACACCTTAACACTAATTAACCTTGTGCAGCCTTTATGCTCATCAGTGTCATTCAGTAAAGTCACAGGGTAGCCATGAAATTGTTGTGCTGATGCTTAACCACTGCTGATTAATGTCTTCTGCTCTCTCACCAATTAATTTTATGGAGATTTTTAATTCTGGTGGGGATAGCACAGCCTCAGATGATGGTATGGTTGTCTGCAAGGAGCAAAGAAAATCTGTAAGAGTTTCTTTGCTCCTTGCTGACAAAGGATATTTTATAAGAATATCCTTTGTTCACTTTAGAGGAATAATCTCTAATATTTCATATAATGAGTATTATTGAAAATGGGACATGCTTCATCTCCATCTGACAAGCTGAGCACCACTGTGGTGGTTGACAGTTATGGGTCAAGCTGACAATTCTGTGGATTGGAACTGTCCTTCCCAAGGTTACTGTGAACAACCTTCATTCACAGGGAATATTCCCTGCAAAAGGATGTGGGAGCTAAGTATGAGTTGCAAACATGCAGGGATGAAAAAAATGTTTCTCAAGGCTGTTTTCCCTCACTGCTGGATCTGTAGAAGGGTTTATACAGCTTTATTGGAAAATCTGTGAAAATGGCTGGTAAAACAGTACAGTGCTGCTTAACTTTATTCTCCCCGGAATGCAAGTATTTGGTTTTTTTTCTACAAACCCTACATAAGCTCCAGTTGTCTTTCCCAACTCTAACACTGTTAGTCTAAATTTTTGGATTTTTAGCCTCATCTGTCTGCTGTTCACTGCCAAAGGTAAGCTGAAGCTGCTTACAATCTCCTATAAACATTGCTGAAAGTGGCATACATAAGGTCAAATGATGGATTTTGGAGAAAGTTTGTTGCTTCCACTGTATGCATTCCTTAGCTTTTCTCTGCACCCAGCTAGCTTGCAGCCTTGTTCATAGTCAGTCATCTGGGCTTTTCTTTTCACCAATTTAAATGTTTTTATTCTGGTGAGCTGCAATCTATAAAGGTCGGCATAGGTAGTTTTTCTACCATTTATGAAGTACAGACAGTCTTGGCCTTGTGCAAATAAAAGAAACTGTGTGCTTGAGGAGTTTACCAGATGTATCTGAGAGTCAAATCTGCCTGTGTTAGCCATGGCAATGTCATTGTCAGAGCAAATTAATTCCCACTTTAAGAGTTAATTAAGAGTTAATTCCCACTTTAATTCAAGATTATGGTGGGTTTATGTAGTATCAACTTGGGTCTCCTCTTGAGACTTCTTTGCTTAAGGGCACAGGACTGACAAATTCTGCTTTGACATCCAGAATGGCGAGGTGCCTTTGAAATCCCAGCTGCAATCAGTAACAGGGCAGAGGCTTGGGCCTTTTCTGCCCACACATAAAAGAGGTGTTCTTAAGGGTTGTCACTAAAGATTTTCTAGTAAAAATCTGTTTTAAACAGCAAAAATAATAAAGAGCAGGACATTGTTTAATGTGGGAGGCAGAAAGTAGCATCCAGAGCAATGTGGAAAAAAGGTGGAGATCCTGACCTGGGTGGTAAGGGAGTTTTGGGAAGAAATGTCAAGCAAGAATAGTTTTTATTCCTCTTAACTTATTTATGTTGTTATAAAGTTTCTCATGAATCCCAGGCTTTTGGTTGAGAACCTAAGGTACACTTTGTGGTTTCGCTGGAAATATGGATTCCTGCATCTTCTATGATCCATGCAGTGTGTAGGAGTGAATGTGAAATATTTAGGTCCTGTGGTCAAATAGCATCTCATGCTTGCTTTGACCCCAATGTAAATTCCACAGTGAGTGAAAAGTGAGAATGAGGTCTGGATATTGCACAGTCTAAAAGTCTCCCATAAAGGGAAGGACAGAAAGTAGCAGGGCGACAGGAAAGGACAAGAGTCTATGAGCAGCACTGTAGGACAAGGGCAATATCTTTATGCCAGACTGGCAAACCCAAAGTGCTAACATGTTCAGGAACATACTAAAGTTTATAAAAATTGGCAACATGTTGGCAGTATGTCTGAGAGGTAATCCTGGGCCTTTGGCTTAGGCCAGTTGTGCAGAACAATTTCTGACACCAAAATTTTGTTGCTTAGGTGCTCAAATAGTATTTATGTTGAGGAGTATTATCTATTTCCATATTCTTTCTTATCCAGTGGTTCTTGGTGGCAGATGCAGCTTGTAACACTCTGCCTGATGATGATGTTTATGTCTTGCTTTCAATAAGCTGTCTCATATCCTTGATCTAGTGTCCTTCATCAGGCATCAGGTTGATGTAAATCCAGGTGCCCATGTGCAACTTGAGCTGTAGAGAGCATAAAATCTGAGTCATTCTGATACAAATGCAAAACCTTCTGACATCAGAAACAAAGAAAACAAAACTCAAGTACTTTGGCACTGAGCTATGTAGAAGTTTCTTTGAAATACACACGCACACACATCCACCCCTCCATTTCCTAAATTAAATTGTGATTTATTTCCAAAACACTAATTAATTTTAGTGGTACAGAGTGACTGTGATTTTTAAATGTATTCCATCAGTGTGCAGCTGTAATTCCAACAAACACCATCCAATTTACGTTGCATTTTGTCAAGTCCTAATAAATGTTGTAAATACAAAATGTATCTAAATTTCATAGTCATGCAAGCTGTCATTATACAGGATTGTGAAGATGGTTGCACATGTGAGTGAGGAAAGTAATTCAACTTTTTTTTTAAAGGGTGGCATTGTTCAAAATTGAGGGCTGGGAAGCTACAGAGTATTATGGACTGTATGACAAACATTCTACATTTTAACATATATTTTCATCATATAGGTTTGAGGGATTTACCTATGTTCTGTCACATGAATGGCTGAGACTTTATATTGATAGCGCATTTAGCCTCCACTTTACAGAAGGCTTTGTATAGCTCAGTTCAGTTTCAGAATAACTTTTGCATTTGCTTATTTGGTGACCTAGGATGTTGGTGAGCCTAGCTACACAGATAATCAGTGGTGAATCATGAGATGTGAAAACGACCACTTGAAACAGTGTGTGGAATAAATTAGTACAGATCAAGACAGTTCTGAAATGCACTCATGTCCTGATTTCTTCACTGAAACAAGATCACTGAAGCAAGACTTCCACTTGAAATAAGGCAGCATTCATGTAGTCCTTATCTGAATGCATTCACTAAATAGAAGATAATACATGCACAGCATATGCAACTGTCCAGTATCTTAGAGAGTGTCTGAAAGACAGAAGCACTGAAGAATTATTTCATGTAGTCTGAAGGTGGATGCTGACAGCTGTTAAGGTAGAATTGGATAATGGTAGCAATAATCTAGCTTTCAGGAAAATGTCCTATGAGAAAGAGAACAGTGGAATAATTTTCAAATAAAACATTAAAGATTATTGCCTGCAAAAGTTGCTCTTGGATATTAGTGGTGGTCATGGAAGAGCTAACTACACAACTATTTCATAGTGTCAGAAAAATCTCTTCCATCTTTGCCTTACAAGCTTAACGATTGTTCCATCTCCAGTTCCTACATTGCTTGAAGATTTTCTGTTTTTTTTCAGGTTTATCATTCTTCTAAAGAATCTCAAAGCTTTAGGTTTCTGTTCATTGTTTTTGAAAGCAAAAAGTCTTGATACATAGCTGTCTCCTTGGAGAGTAAGCATCTAAACATCTTTTGACAACCCAGGATATTGGAATCTGAACCCTCAGCTCCATATCTCATTGTTTGAAAAAAAAACAAAACCACACAACGTAATATAGGTAGCAGGCGACAAATAAAACAGTTATTCTGTATCCTTGAAAGCTCTTTATCTACAATTTCTATTTTGATGCAGTGAGTGTTGCAAAATGAGATGGAAAACACTGTGATGCTGGTGTCATAAGAATCAAAGTATGTGATGTATCTGAGTGCTCTCTCCTCTTTTGTATCCCACGAGCTTGTATCTGCAGACTGAAAATAATTTGCACTGGAAAATCACTAGAAATTTTCCATTTCATTTTGTTCCTGTGATCTGGATCTACTATAAATTCAAGCTGTTCAAAGCTATCAGGATACATATTTGACAAATCAATGGCATGCTCTGGCCCCCAAATTTGGAACAAGAGCAAAATTTGAGGAATTTAAAAATAATAGTAGTACAGCTTGTATACCAAAACATCAGCGCTTGTCTCTTTCCTCTCAATTACCAGAGTGCAGAACAGATAAGTGCATTGTGCCGAAACTTCCAAGAAGTCCAAGCAAGCAGTATGGAAGGACAGAAGGACAACCAGGATCCACCTCCACGGCCACTGGCTCGCCACCTTTCTGATGCAGATAGATTGAGGAAAGTAATTCAAGAACTTATGGACACTGAGAAATCTTATGTCAAGGTAAAAAAAAAAATAATAATCTGGCTAGCTACAGCCTTCTTTTTGAGTCTGACCATGATTTGTGGATGGTCTTAAAGTGTTTAATGTTTACCTTTATATTACCAGTACTCTACAAGGGCCATAACCTACAGACTCTGCTTATCTAATTGTTCCTGCTGTTTTCAATGGATTTGCTCCTGTAACAGAGGCTGTAGGATTTGATCTAGTAGCTTTAGCCCTGGTCAATTTGTATTTATATTGGAGAGTGGTAATATTTCGGGAGTAGATACCTGCAATATTTGAACACTGGGGTTTGTCAGGGGATGTTTCCATAGTTTTCAAAATGAAAATAAATTTAGTAGATTCTCCTACAAATTAGAAAAAAAGTTTAGTTGCGGAAAATAAGGCATAATTATTTTTTAATCATTTTGAATCACCAAAACTAAAAGGCACAACTCCAGTTGCTTGTAGCATCACACATATGTTATTTCTCCTTTGACTGATTAGTCCTTAATTTGTTAGATCTATGTCTCTTCTTTTTATAAACCCCTAAAATTCATGTGACTGGATGCCAAAAGAAAAATGAAAGCATTGATTTCATTGACCTTTGGCAAGGAGGAATAATCTACTTCACCTGATCTCAAAACATGTACTTACAGATATGAGTACTTGCTGCAATAATATATATGGAAAAGAAGAGAAAATGCTTTCAGTCTGTTGTTGTTAGCACATCCATCAATACATTAAAACAGCCATATGCTGTAAAACTTCAGGAAGCTTTACAGAACACAGACCCCCGTGTATGTCCAACTGATGTTTCTTATAGAGGAATCGCTTGAAGAAAGGCATGACCATGGAGGTCACTGATGTGAAAAATTTTGCACCAGGCAGTATCCCGGCAGGTTGCACATACTCATTATGGTATTCTCAGGGATATGCCCGTTACTTCTTCTCCATAAGAATTTCTGCTGTTTCTTTTCTCAGGGTCAGAGCCCTGCAGTGGGCTGCTTTGCTATGGGATAGAAAGTCTTCAAAAGTAGCAACAATTCTTTGAAGAAGTGACTGAGAAAGCCCTTGATCACATCCCCCCGCCCCTGAAAAGAACACTGAACACTTTAATACTTAATAGGATTTTAAAATGTGTCCTTCTAAATATTGTTACTCATACTTAAATGAGTGGCTATTTATATGTTTTATCTAACATGCATGATTAAAACATTTGATGCAGTTCATATACATGGACTCTTTAGAAAGCCATCGTCTGTAGCATTTTTTCCTCATGCTATACTAAAATATAATATGTTATAATCAAGCTGTAAAACCTCAAGGATGAAACAAAAATATTACACTGAAATCAGTTTACATCTAATTTAGCAATCACTTTAGCACTAACAACACACAGGTGATTTTGTTACAGAAAAGGAATTCTCTCTCTAGTTCATTCCTGAAAGTTACTGCTATTCCACAGTTGTCGTATGAAGAACAATTTCACACTGTTACGTAAAAAGTGAACAAATTCTCTTTCTTTCAGGACTTGAGCTGCCTCTTCGAGCTATACTTGGAGCCTCTTCAAAATGAAACTTTCCTTACTCAGGATGAGGTGAGCAAATAACTGAAAGATATGCTTTTCATTCTTTTATGGGTTAAGACCTTGGCGCTTGGGCTTTTCATTGCTGAAAGCACACAATAGAAAAAGCAACCAACAAACATAACAATAAGAATTACACCAGTCAGGGCTTTTCTGTCTGGTGCGTGCATCACTTCTCTTTTTTTTTTTTTTTTAAAGGGTAATTGTTCTTCTGACTTAACTGCTAAGAAATGTTTGCTTTTTCGTAAGGGTTTCATAGAATCATAGAATAGATTGGGTTGGAAAAGACATCCAAGATCATCAAGTCCAACCCCTGATCCAACTCCAATTACTATATCATGGCACTAAGGGCCACGTCCAATCTCTTTTTAAAACCCTCCAGGGATGGTGAATCCACCACCTCTCTGGGCAGGCCGTTCCAGTGCCTGATTACCCTCTCTGTAAAGAATTTCTTCCTAACATCTAACCTAAACCTCCCCTGGCAGAGCTTGAGCCCATGCCCCCTTGTCCTATTGTTGGTTGCCTGGGAGAAGAGACCAACCCCCACCTGGCTATAACCTCCCTTCAGGTAGTTGAAGAGAGTGATGAGGTCACCTCTAAGCCTTCTCTTCTCCAGACTAAACAACCCCAGCTCCCTCAGCCTCTCCTCATAGGACTTGTGCTCAAGTCCCTTCACCAGCCTTGTTGCTCTTCTCTGGACCCGCTCCAGCACCTCAATGTCCTTCCTAAACTGAGGGGCCCAGAGCTGAACACAATACTCAAGGTGTGGCCTCACTAACTCAGAGTACAGGGGAAGGATCACTTCCCTGCTCCTGCTGGCCACACTGTTCTTGATGCAGGCCAGGATGCTGTTGGCCTTCTTGGCCACCTGGGCACACTGTTTTGTTTTGTTTTATAAAACCCATTTGAAAAGTATTAATGAAGATGTTACTTGCCTTTGCAACTTCTTTGTGTGTGTCACATCTCCTTAGTGGACTGTTTTTGTAAGACCACAATTAGATGGTCTTACAAAAATGTACTGTGAATTTATAGCCTAATGTTTTTCATAGATGGAGTCCTTGTTCGGCAGTCTGCCAGAAATGCTGGATTTCCAGAAGGTGTTTTTGGAGACCCTTGAAGATGGAATATCTTCTTCCTCAGATTTTAATACACTGGAAACACCATCCCAGTTCCGGGTAAATACTTGGTCATTTAATACCTTGCAGTGTTTGTGGAAATCTGACTTGAAGAACTCATATTTAAGTTTCATAGGGTTGCTTCTATGTTTGAAGCTTTACTTCGGATTACAGACACCTATTCAGCAGAGAAAAATAAGTGCTATTTTTCATGGTTTTATCATCCTCTTTCCAATGGCAGAAGATGCAACATGGAAGATGCAGAGTAGACTTTGAGTGCGCTATAAACTAGTGATGCTTATGATGAAGAACTCCTTTGTAGAAAGGTTACTGTTGCTGTGCTGAATTCTGCCCTGCATTGTGCTCCTCCCTGCTGTGCCCAGTTCACCCGCTATAGACTGGGACCTTTTCCTGTTAAATGGTGCATGAGTTGCTCATGTTGTGAGGTCCAAGAAGACAGCTGACAAAGTGTAAATGGCTGTAGGCTGTGCCCTCATGGTGCTGTCTTGCTCACAGTGGCACCACTCAGTACCTGCCCTATCTGGAAGAAGTAGGGTTTCCTGGAAATGGAGCCACTGTCACAGGACCAGGCAAGACTGCTGGCAGGTCTCCCAAACACTTGCTGCCTTTTGTGGAGCAAACATTGATTAAAAAGAAGGGAGAGGGCTGCTCTCCTCCTCCCTCACTCCTCCTCTTTCTTATATTTGCTTTGGAAAGCATTTTTCTAAAAACATCTCCCTCGTGATTCAGTCCCTCTCACATCTTCCCAACCGCCCCTTCATCCAAGAACATCAGAAGTGCCCTGTAATTACCACCACCACCTGCCTGAAAGAGGGAAAACACTTGGAAAGCAATCCTCTGTGTTTGTTTTATGCTGTTCCTTCTGACTCTGGCACTTCTGTGCCTTGCTTCCTATTGCTCATGTTTTTTCCCAGCACAACATACTCTGTTACATGTCTGTTGATTATTGTCCCTGTGCTGCCTGAAAGATACAGTAAGATGGAATGGCTGCAGTGGCATTACCTGCTCAGGGAGAATGGAGAAAATTGCAGGCTTTGCCCAAATAGGCTGAACTCTGCACCCAGAGAAGTACAGAAACATCACAGAGCTACCACTAGTAGTATATTCAAGTTTATATATATACACACACACGCACACACACACACACACACATACATATAGATATAAGTGTGTGTGTGTATATATATATAAAATAAAATAAAAATAGGGTATGTATAGAAAGATAGCAGATAATCACACCATTGAGCCTCTGTGTTATGTGCCTGAATGTTTGTTTAGGATTTTGAATTAATTTGAATTAATACTTTTATTGTGTTGATTTCAGAAATTACTGTTTTCCCTTGGAGGCTCCTTTCTGTATTACGCTGACCACTTTAAACTGTACAGTGGCTTCTGTGCAAACCACATCAAAGTTCAGAAAGTTCTTGAGAGAGGTAATTTATTGTCTTCATTATTGTAATTCATTTGCGTGAATTTAAACTGCAGTGAACTACTGTAACAAATCCCATGGACTTGCAGAGAATATGGGTACAAAGCAAGGACTAATCGGGTTTCTTTCAATAGGAATAGCTAAGATCTGTGGTTCTGCTGAGGTATGGTATAGAAGTGAAGGGGTAACATTCCTTTTCTAACATTCAGGCAGTAGCTTGAATAGCTACAGAACCATCTTCCACAAGTTTGTGCTCTCTGCAGATGCGGCTCATACTCCAAAAAGCAGCAATAAATGGTAGAATAAGTTAGTTCCTCTGCCAACCACTTCAGTGCAGTGGGAAAATTATATTGAGGAATAATCTTACCTTGATAAAATTGCTCTCTTAGCCCTTATGTATGTTATTTAATGCAGGAAATTATTATGAAATAAAGCATAAATGATTTTGTAAACCATCTGTTGAAAAGGGTGAGGCTTTTGGTGCCAATTACAAGTTGGAATTCTGTGCTTTCAAATCATTGTAGCTTCTATGACTTCCATATTCAACTGACGAACTCTTTTATTTACATCTAGCCAAAACAGATAGTGCTTTTAAGGCCTTTCTGGATGCTCGAAATCCCACAAAGCAACACTCTTCTACACTGGAGTCATATCTCATAAAGCCTGTTCAGAGAGTGCTGAAATATCCTCTGCTTTTAAAAGAGCTGGTGTCTCTGACAGACAACGAGAGTGAGGAGCACTATCATTTGACAGGTAACTTCTTCCTTTCTCCTAGAGGAATGAATATGAGTTAAGTTTTATTTCCAGCCCCTTCTGAAGATGCAGGTAGCCATTCTGGAAGACAGCACAGAACTTGTAAAAACCTAGAGAGAATTCAGTCCCTCTCCTTAAATAATAAGTAGCTTTTCCATGCTTTTAGCAAAAAGTGTGGTATGTCCAAGTCTCTTCAAGAAGTAGATATACACAGGATTTGCCATGGCAAATATGACTGGAGTCTTCTCCTCAATTCTTGCACAGGAGCATGTCAGGTCATAGTGTTGGGTTGGGGTTTTTTTCCCATTTGGGAAACACTGACCAAAGCTCCATCTTGTGGTTATTATTCAGTTCTTGAAATGTGTCAAAGTTTAAGAGCACCACAGAAGGAAATTTTAGTTGTTTGAGGTTTGGCTGTGACTCTTGCTTGTGTAGAAGAGATCTGTGTCAAAACTTTGTAGTCTTCCTACAGAGAAAGACTCGTCTGTCTAACATACATTACAGTTCATTGCTTTTCTAGGCTCAGATGCTTGGGACTTCACCTTGGCAAATTCCAGTTCAGATCTGTCAGCACTTGGTGGATGAAAGTCCAGAGATTAATTTTACGGAATGATTGTCATTTTTACAATGAACAGATTCATGCAAAATACATTGTCAGCACAAAGTCAGGAGGCTGTTACTTACTTCAAAGGGAGTTTCTAATACTGTTCCCTTGCCCTTGCAAGCTGGGGGTGACTTACTTGGAGGTTAGAATGGATGCCAAACTTCTAAAAGGCCTGCACCATTAAAAGCTGTCAGGACTGGAGAAACTAAATGCCCTTCTCCAACTCCTTTCTGAATTAACACAAAAGTCTGTTGAAATCTAGTGTCATTCTCGCTTAGAAAACAAAATGTAAACAAAATCTGGCCACCAGCATTTCATTTTATGGATACAATGCATAAGGAATTTGTACAACGTAGCACTGCATTTCTTTGTCTATTCTGTGGTCAGCCAAATGCAGTTGGTTTCTATTAAAGCTCATCAGATGGCTTATCCTAGTATGGATGTAGATTACTCTGGAGATCCGAGTGGCCCTATATATACAAGATGCAAAACCTAACTGTGTTTACTGTCATGTTGATAGGAATATTCACACATCTAGGGGCTTATCACTGGAATGCTTATTGCAGCCTTTTGAGGCATTTAAGACATCAGACAAGCAGTTTTCACTTACTCTGATCAGGAAGCATAACTTCTACTGTTGCTATGAAAAAGCACTGATACAAAACTAGAATTCTGTTCACCAGACCTTGGGAACACTGCATTGTTTTCCCTGCCTCAAGTGGAATTCAGTTAAAAAAAAAGTCATATTTAGAAAATACAATTGAATTATATAGCTGTCTATGACATTTTTAAACCTTATAGAAGCGCTGAAGGCAATGGAAAAAGTAGCAAGTCACATCAACGAGATGCAGAAGATATATGAAGATTATGGCACTGTATTTGACCAACTGGTTGCAGATCAAAGTGGAACAGAGAAGGAGGTAAGAGAAGGAACATGTTTTATTCACTCCTGAAGCATTACTCTGCTTGCCAGTGGGTGTTTTATCTCTCACTGAGGTAATTATGGGAACTTATTTGTGCTGGGCTTCCTCCACTCTCCTTTAATATTTTGACTTCCATATCATATCTGCCTGTCAAATTTCTTTTTCTCAGTAGGTTATGGTAAAATTTTCAGACAGCTTCTGAACTGACAGGAATTGTAGTAGGAAAAATCCTGCACTTCTAAAATGTTGCTGAGATTATCCATGCCCTAAGGCATTCAGATTTTGTGCTCCAGAGTTCTTAAGGTATTTTTTTCACCCATGTAAATGAAAATGGCAATTTGAGGGATTTCACATTAAGGTCTGTTATTGTCATTCTCCACACTTCCACCACTGAGGCATCCACGGGTATTTGTCAGAGGAAAAAACATTAGTTAAACAGACTGTGTGCATACATCTCCCAGAACTGGGGCAGCAAGGTCTCAACTTTGCTATTTACATCAAACGATTACTAAGCAGATCAAATCCTTAAAGGTGAAGATCAGACATGAGAAATATCGGCTCAGTTGTTTTATTTCCTCCTAGTAAAAGCTAAATTCCCTCTGTTGGCTACCTGGTTTCCCATAATTTATGGGGAAATAAAACTTGACAGCCTGGGAGATTCTTCAGTGTTATGTTGTGTCCCACAGAAGAAAGCAGCCTCAGAGTACAAGACCTCCATTAATTCTGCCATTGGCGGTGTCATTAATACTCATTACTCTATAGAAATTAAAGATAGTTACAGCCAATAAATCAGCCAGTTCACAACTGGCTATATGTAAGGGACAGATCATCAGATCAACTTAATATTCTTCTAAGTTATTAATAGTAAGAACTTCTATCCAGCTTCCATAACTTAGGGGCTATTACTTTTTATAGTTGTTACCTATTTTAAAAAAGGGATTACTCACACTTTTCCTGCCGTAATGCAGATCTCTTTCTCTGTACATACAGTAAATACAGAAAACATAGATCCTTAAAATTATTGATGTGTACTCATTAATATTTTATTCACATATGAGGATCGCAGCCCTGATGGATATATTTATACTATTTATTTATATTATCTACTGTTATAATTTAATACAGGTGACAGAGCTTTCAATGGGAGAACTTCTGATGCACTCTACGGTTTCCTGGCTGAATCCTTTCCCATCGCTGGGCAAAGCAAGAAAAGACCTTGAACTTACAGTGTTTGGTAAGTGTCTTCCTCTATGACTCTCTGCTCTTTGAAATCTAAAGATTACTACATTAAATCTTCTCACAAGATGAAAGGCGCCATCTCCTTTCCCTGTAGCCATGTGATAGCTAGGGTCGACTTACATCTGAAAAAATTCAGTTATATTCCATAATACGAGGAGTGAAAAGTTTCCATTCGATTATTTGCCGCTGCTGTTTGCTCTGTGAGCCAACGTCAGCTGCTCTCCTGTCTATATCTAAACTATAGAAATTAGTGATTTTCAAGAGACAATATTCTCTTCAGAACAATCTGCTAAACCAAGCTTTCAAAGGAGGCTGGTAGGAAAATGGTGATTTATTCTACTCTTGGGAATTTAGGCTAACCTCTGCTTTACAGCTACTGCATCGAAATCCCCATCTAGATTGTTTTAGCCTGAAAAATTAATGTGGAAATAAGATCACAAAGTTTTATTAAATAGTATATATATGATTGCTTATCTAATAATTACCTAAGTAATTAAACCTTGCAGTGAAACTTCTTAGGCGCTTGTCCATTTTGTTATGCAATGACATTTTAAAGAAATATTTTTGAAACACCTACAGACCAACTCCAGTTGACAAGAGACGAGTTTCTGTTTCTCAGGGCTGTTGTGCACTCCTGTCCTGGGAAGCATGACAGACTAGGGGAGCGGATGCTTCTCGCAGAAAAACAACCAGAAGCTACCTCCCAGGTTCCTTGGATGAGCTCACAGAATCACAGAATGTTATTCTGCGTGATCCTTGTATGCCAGGCACTTCCCAGCAGCTCATGTATTAATAAAAGGCAGATTATTCTTCTGCCACTTGGGGAACCACATCTTATTCTCACTTCAAACCCTACGTGGGCAGCTTACAAAATGCACCTAATATGTGGAGCTGAGGGAAACTGCCAAGCTGTGGGGTAAATACTGTGCTCACTATGGCTGCATCCTGGCTTCACGTAGGGATGCGACTCAGCTGCATACCATTGCCCCTCTCTCCTCTGGAAACATGGGTGCATGAGCAGGGTCAGAGCTGTACTGCCCTTAAGTTCAAACTGGGACCCAGGACTGCTCTGCAGGGCCATCCTTTAGTTCAGGTGCAGCTTCAATGCCTCCATATTTCTGTTCCTCCTTACAGATGAAAGAGAACATGTCCCTGGAGGCTGAAAGATTAGATAGCGTTAGTGAGCCACTCCAGATGGATATTGTGGAAGCCAGAGAATTCCTGCAGATGAAAAAGCAGGAATTGAGATGTTTGAGTTTCCAACTAAACAAATGCTGAACTGCAGGAAGAACCAACTTTGTGTCCTTTTTCACAGCCCTCTCTTGCTATAGGCCCTCCACTTGAAAACGTCCACCAATTACAAAGAGAAAATCTGAACCTTTACATCTAACCTACATCTGCTGTATTTGCTTATGTGAAGACTGCTTCACATACCAGGAAACAGGTAGTTTTAGAATAAAGGTGCAGAATGGCTTCATCCTAAATGTTCAGAACAAAATGTAAGGAAAAAAATACTGCCATTGCATGGACAAGTGTAGGGTGAAAAACTCAGTTGTCACCTTAATACAAGGCAGATGCTTTTAAATCAGTTTGCTTATCTCATCCTTCACATTCCTGTGCCTACAATCATCAGCTTCTTCAAGTTAGTATTTTCATTTAATATTACACCTGTAATTAACAGTTTTCCTTTTTTTTTTTTCTTTCTTTCTTAGTTTTTAAGAGGGCTGTAATATTGGTGTATAAGGAGAACTACAAACTGAAAAAGAAAATGGTAAGTCTGGTGTCAGGTGGAGGTGGTGGGTGTTCATGCACAAGACTCTACTGCAGTGTGAGATGAACCATACCGATGTTGAAGGGGAAGGGACTGTGGTGAAAAGCCACCTTCCCTCACTAGGCTGGAATTCTGGCTATATCACAGCTAAAACAAGCGCTCAGTATCTGCATAGCAAGACATGTTTTTTGTTACTTAGTAAGCAGCAGCATCTTCTCTGTGTGAGCCCCATGTTAGTTGTGTCAGGTGGAATACAAATAAAGGAATCATTGACTCTTTCAGATGGCATTTACGATGACCTACCTTAATGTAGTGTATAGGTTAAAGACTTCTGTTTATAGACCCTTGATCACCCGGGAAGGAAAGGAAAAAGGGGTATTATAAACATAATATCCTCTGTCCCCATTTCCAAACTGGAATGCTGAAGTCAAGTAGCAATTTGTATATCCTGAGTGCCAGTGGTGAAGCACTGCACCATGCTTATCATAACAGACAGAGTGGCTCTAAAAGTAGCTGCAGCAGCTACATGATTAATGTATTCTGCTAATCAACAGTCTGTGGGTTCCTTCATGGGAAACTTGTTCCTTAGTAGTACTTATATGCAAAGTATTATTTTTATCCATTAAAAACAAGTGCTTTTAAAAGTTGAAGCAATTACAAGTTCCAAAGGTTGTGTCTGTCACCATTTCAATTACATTTACAAGCACATACTAGGGTACTGAAGGGGAAAGTCTAATTAATTTAGTTTCTCTTCAGAGGCAGGTCTTTTAAGAGTAACACAAAAAAATCCCACTTCTTTTACTTCTCAGAAATATCCTTGTTTTTCTTTTTGCAGCCTACTAATGTTCGTGCTGCACATAATTATGGTGACTTGGATCCATTTAAATTTCGTTGGCTGATTCCTTTATCTGCTCTTCAAGTTCGACTGGGGAACACAGCAGGTAATTCCCTTGCACTGAATACGTTGGGATTGAATGCTTTTCTGGGATTCTGTAATACTGCTTCTTCCATATGTCTTTCTAGAGCCTCTGGAAACAGGCAGGTATAGAGAAAATACTATTTACTGTTGTTGCTACACTCAGGGTACAAGCTTGATACATTAACAGACCTTTTTCATTTGGTATGTTGGCTTCTTCCATAAATTTAGGAAGATGCAACATGACATGAAGGAAGGACAGAATGGAAAAAGATGAATGAAATCTTTCCTTAATGAAAAGATACTGTGAGCAGGAAGGTCATTTACCATGGTTGACATCCTGGTGACGCCCTTATACTGTGTGCGCTGACCCTTGTTTTTCCAAATGTGGGAAAGTTGTGTAATTTGTGGAAGTAGGCTGTGTCTTTATTTTCCCTTTGAGGTGATCTTTATGATCCCATCCAGTTCTATATGTCCTGTAAAGTGTCACTTGGTATTTAGAGCAAGTGCTTTGCACACCTGGGAGAAGGCCTTTGATCCAAGGCTGGGGGCAGTGAGAAGCATTAAGAATGGGAGAAAGCAACTCCCCAGGAGAGAAGGTCAAGTTGTCAAAGGCAGCACAGGCCGGGCTGCTACAACAGGAGACTTGAGGGGACTTTACTTTGGATTCCACTTCGGGTGCGATCTTCTGTGGATCCACCCATGCCTATGTCATCACTGCCTTCAGAAGACAAGTTCTACATTGGTCTTTCTAATGCTGAAGGTTTTGCTAAGTATATACAAAAATAACGTTTCCTTCCATGGACAGGAACAGAGAACAGCTGTATCTGGGAGCTGATTCACACCAAGTCAGAAGTAGAAGGCAGGCCAGAAACAATTTTTCAATTGTGCAGCAGGTAAGCTTTACATGGAGGGTGTATTTGACAAATCACATTAATGGAATTAAAAAAACTAAAATATTCTCTCCCACACGACCTTTGCATCAGCACTTCTAATACAGCTCTCACTCTTTGAATCCAGGCGCTATGCCAGTCTTTAACTGCATAAAGTATAACACTTGGAAATGTAAGTGAATTCGGCACAGTGATCCAGCATCAGAAATCCGCACAGATGTATGATCATAAATGCCAGTACGATATAGGCACAGTAGCTGATTTTATTGGACTCTGTTGGTTAGCAGAAATTACCTTCTGATAAAGATGAATTAAGGGGTGATCCCTTAGTACAGAAGTTACCTTTCAGGCTGTTTTTCTATGGGGAAGTAACCAAGATCTCAAAACACAAAGTCTGCGAAATGGCTAACACCACAAAGATATTAGCTGCAAAACCTACTACTAAAGCAAGCTACTGAAAAAAACCACTGCATTAAAGCACATAGCAGAAAGGAGGAAGGCAGATTTTATCCTAGTAGTGTCTTACTTCACATGGGAAAATTAGCTTATCTGTTTTCTTAAACTTGCAGTGACTGTGAGAACAAGACTAACATCGTGAAGGTGATCCGTTCTATTTTGCGGGAGAATTTCAGACGTCACATAAAATGTGAGCTACCGCTGGAGAAAACGTGTAAAGATCGCCTTGTCCCACTCAAGAACCGTGTCCCTGCAACAGCCAAACTGGGTAAGAATCATGTTGTCAAAGTAGAAAAATGAAGTGTGGACTCCAGAGCTGGTAGAAGGTTTGCAATTATTACCATGACTGAGGTGTGTTGTGTGCCAAATGCACAAATCATTCCTTTTCAGGCTGGGGAGGGGATAAAGTTTCTCCATAACTCAGTGGATGATAAGGGCTGGAGGAGATAAGCAAGCTTGCCATCCCCCCACACTGTGATGTGTCATTAGCCCTCTCTTAAGGGAAGACTTAATAAGGCCCAAATTGATTTGTCTGGGAAGAAATGAACTTCCTTTGGCATAGGGTATTAGGGTTCTTTCCTCTGGGTTCCCCTTAGTAACTCATCCCTAGTAACATTTAAAGCTAAAACAACTGGCAAAGGCAGGGGTCTTGCTTCTTCCAACGCACTAGATCTGCATCCCAGCAGATACCCGAATTGAGTACAAGCTTCAGACATTGATCAAATGAGACTACATACGCTGTAATTGTAAGTGGGCTACTGAGACAGTGTAACCAGCTGATATTTTGCTGAAAAAAATAAGCTTGTCTTCTTCCTCTGCACAGCTTCCACGAGGTCCTTGAAGGTACTGAAGAATTCATCCAGTGGCGAGTGGAACGGTGACCCAGGGAAAGGCACCTTCCAGGACTCTGATGAGTGCAGCCTGAGTAGCAGCACTCAGAGCAGCAGCTGCCACACTGCTGAGAGCCTACAGGAGCCCAAAAATTCATCTCCTGATAAACATGTACAGAGCTGTGCATCCAACTTCTCTAATGTTCTTGTCAAAGAATCTGATATTCTCAGTGATGACGATGATGACGATGACTATCAGAGCCTAAAGAAGGGCAGCCCTACGAAAGACATCGAGATACAGTTCCAACGGCTGAAGATTTCAGAGGAACCAAGTACTGACTCTGAACGGGATCAGGCTGCTGAAACTGAAGAAGGAGATGACTTTGACACAGGAGAGCATCCGAAGCTGGTGCGTGGCCATTTCTGCCCAGTGAAGCGAAAAGTAAACAGCACAAAGCGTAACAGAGGAACTTTAATGGCAATGCAAGAACGGCACCAGTCCCTTGACAGTCACTCTGATGCTGCAAATCTGGATCTGAACTCTATTTTAGAGAGAGAATTTAGCGTCCAGAGTTTAACATCTGTAGTTAACGAGGACTGTTTTTATGAAGCTGTGGAGAGGCATGGGAAATCCTAGCTTTCTAAGCACTATATTTAAAATATTAATTTGAAGTCCACATAAAACTCAACAACCTTATTTTGCTTTAAAACTAGTAAATTCATGGAAGCTGCAGGAAAACTACTATCTGATTTTGTGCACTAATACATTTTTTTCCCACAAAAACAGCTGTAAAAGATTCTTAAGTTATTTTAATTTATTGTGGATCAGATTAAGTTGGCCAAGGTCTGTAAATTAGTTCAAGCAGTTATTAAGGTGATGTAGTGTTCTTCAGGAGGGGAAGGGAAGGGAAGGGAAGGATGGCCTCATTAGTATTTTAAGTAATGTGGATAAGGTGCTAGTGAGTGGCAGAGGGGATTACAATGGAAAGTAGCATTGCAAAATGAATTTTTCAATACCTTGGGCATTTTATTTCTTTGGTTTTCATTTTTGCTTTATTTAAAGCAGAATTAAGTTATTTTAATGTGTTTTAGTGCACAATAGTGCAGAAATTTCATTTTTGTAAGTTTCAAGATGCTGTTTATACTTTATACATATGTGTAAATACAAAAACAAAGCTTGGCCTGTAATCTTTTATTTGACTGTATTTTTTATTTTCTCTACCAGCCTGTACAGTAAAAGACAAATAAGTATTGTACTTAGCCCTGTTTTCTACTTTTTATCATGCTGCTTTTCTCCAGTTGGAGTTTTAAATCCCAAATTCTTTGTTTTTGCATAAATGAGAAGAGTATTAGCAGACCTTGAGGCAATCTGCACACTTTATCCTCCGTTAAGCCAGGCACTTGATATGCAAGCATTCTGGCTTTTGTTTTTTAAATTACTCTGCACAGTAGGATGTTCCAGGAAGCACAAAAAAACCCCAACCACTGTCTTACATGCTGAAGTATGAAAAAAGTACTTTTTTTTACATTTCAGTAATGCACTTTCACTCCCACAAAACTCAATTATCTCAGAAGTATCCCAACTTAATTACGTGTCTCACAACATACCTTGTTCATGGGTTCTAGCCATTCCCCTGAAGTAAAAAGAACCTCTAGGTACCTTGTAACTGGACTGTTCTTTCACTTTTGTCTACAGCTGAATGGAATGAATAAATAAAAATTGAAAGCCCTCTCTCTCCACCACTTTCTCAAAAGTATTTCTTCCATACCTGCACAGATGTAGGAATATATAAGCCTCCTTTTACTTAATTAACAATTCTAGATCAAGGAGTTAAAACAAATTAAAAAAAAAAAGTTACAGATGATTTTCCTCTTCAGTCTGTTCAGGCTCACTGGTACTTCTAATTAATTTTCTCGTCTTCTTCTTTTGCTTTAGTTCTTCTCTGTAATTGTACACAAAAAGACCTGGATCTTCATCACACATTTTCCTGTATGTATCACACAGATTTCTAAACTGTGACATGGAGAGTTGAAAAGGACGCAGAGTTGGATCAACATTTGCTGTCATCATCAGCTGCTCTGTTCTTTTCAAACGTCCACTTTCAGGAAACAAGGTCCTAAAAGTTGTGAAGAAAAGACAAACAAATTCAAACAATTCAGCCAGACAATTCAGTTTCCCTTAAGAGTAACAGTGTCCTCTTGGGAATTTACTTAATATAGGTTTACTATTAAGTACATCATTATTTTAACTCTGGGCACTCCAAATATGTCTCATTATCTAAGCAAATGGAAACATATAAGGGTTCTTTTTCTGCAAATGCAGATTATAACAACATAGGAAAGAGTATACATACATTGTACATTAAACAGATGCATGTATGTTTATGTTTGCTAACATTAAAAAGAGCACTGGGTATGTATATAGTCACAGAGCCTTCTTAGAATTAGCTTCCTATTTAGAGAGTAACAACAGCTTGAACTGGCAAAACAGATCAGATCCAAACCATATGACTTACTTTCAGGCTGTTTCATTCCAATGGGAAAGATAGTGTTATCCCTTGTCATTAATACCATAATTCCAATGCCAGAAAAAAAGCCAAGAAGGAGGAGGAGTATCTAATTATATCATTCACTTTTTAATATTTAGAACTTAAGAGACTGTGCCAGGAGTCCTAGATTTTATTTTCAGCTCTGTCACTGTTCATAGAGTCATATCAGTTCATTTACTCTGTGGCCAGATGCATTAGCACTTCTCTGTCTCTCAAGTTCCCCAAATTTTAACACACAGTATTAGTTCCAGGGATTTTTAATGTCTTGCAAAAATGCATACGACACAGCACAACCCACTGAAACTACTAGCTGCTTAGCTCCTACCAGCAGTAGTTCTCAGTCTGCAACAGGTCATGAAGGCAGAAAATTTGCACGATTGATGTGCATGTTTGAATTTTCAAATTATCTGCCTCTGTCATACATAGGTAAGACCTAAAAATGCTGTGCATGGAATACGGTAACACGCCCCACAAGCCCCCAGCTGCGTTTTGCAGGGTGGCTGGACAAGCTACTCAAAAGGCTTTTGAACAAGTCGTCAGTGATAGTTGGGTCTTGGTGGACAGCTAGAACACAAAGCTACAAAAGGGTTTAACATGACAAGAAAAGGATGAAACTTCTGGGAACAATCTGGTTTGAAGTACGTGCTACTCAAGGCCTTGGTCAAAAATGTCCCCATTAGTTCAGCATCTAGGTCAGCAAGGTTAAGACGGATTAATCCTTATTTTGATATCCCTTCTTACGTTATTCTCTCCTTTGATTTTGTAGTTAAAAGATGTACCTGAAGCCAGAAATGTTTAATCACCTTTTATATCTAGACTATGAACCATCTTATAAATGTCCATGAAAGCAACCCAAACTACAGTATTTTTTTATATGGACTTAATAGTTTAATCTTACATTCCATGTCTCTCTCAGATCCCAGAATTTACACACAAATGTAAACTGATTCTATTACCTTGTTTTTATAGTTTATGTAATAGACAGAAACCTTACAAGGAACTTAACAGCGTCACTATATACCAAAATTTGTTATTTTTTTCCCAGGTCAGCTAAAGAGTAAGAGGATTGTGTTTCTTAGTTGCATACTAGGGCTGAAGTATGGTAAGCTGCCAGGGGATTCGTGATGTCCAAAAGTTCAGATTCCCCCTCTTTGCCTCAAAAGAATGTAGAACAGTTATTAACAACTTGAGATTACACAATAGCTGGATTTTTTTAAAACTTTGGCAAAAATATTCTACATAATGTAGGTAAGCTGATTGCTTATCAACTGAAACCATTCTTTCACAAAAAAAACCAACTCTGTGAATCAATTATAAACCTTATCTAGAGCTCGGATACCTTGTTTTCTAACGACCTCCAAATGCATACTCAAACCTTAACACAGGTAAATCAGTACTCAGGTCAAATGTCTGCGTCCCAGATATAAACGCAATTCACTGCCTCAAGGAAAAAAAAAAAACAAAAACCTAGAGGCAAAAATTCTATCTTCACCTTTAAAATAGTGACACTTAAGGCTTTTAGGTCAGTAAGGTGGCACCTGCCCTAATTCTGGACTGTGTCAGGGCCAAAACCATGCCTAGCAAAATTCAGCTAGCCCAAGCTGCAGCAGCCACCTCTGGTCCCAAGAGCAGCTCTGTCACATGCTGTACAATGTTGAATGCCAGGTTTTCCCCATACCAGGTCAGACACGTGGCTATGCTAGAGTTTTAACAGGATCCTTGGCAAACACACTGCAGGTTTCTCCCATCAGTTAGAGAACCTAGTAAATTCCCTCAGTAAGACATGGGGATTTTTAAAGAGTCAGTAAGAACTCTGCAAAAGGGCAAGCATAGAAACAAGAATTTGACCTTTTGACATTATCCCCAAATAAGTAAAATTTCCCACAGCTGGTGTTCTCCCTCCTCAGGCTGCCATCTTTGGTGCTGAATTTTGAGAATAATTTTTTAACTTGACCAACAAATGCTCTAGTTTTTGTGGTTGGGGTGGTTTTTTTGTTTTTTTCTGATTCAGACAAACTATTGGAAAGATCACCAGTTTATCCCAGTAATTTTAACAACTGCAACCACACTAACAAAAATGCACAATAATTATTATGTAATTACAGCAGAAAGATTCATCTCATACTTTTGTCTCCAGAAACCCTTCTGAAATAGAAAGATCTGATGAACTATGATGACAAATTTAAAATGTGAGGAATAAAATCAAATTCATAGCTACAAGTGTTTCTCAACTGATTTAGTAGCTGATGCATTTACAAAAACATTATCTGAAGAGTTTTTCATTAAAGATCCTTACTCGAGTCCACGGAAGCAGTGTTTTCTTCTAAAATGAAAAACACTTCGAACCACTTTTTCTACTAGCTCAAATGGCTGCTGTATCTTTGGTTGCACCAATGGAGTGAAATGCACCACAGCCACATCCACCTGTACGGAAAAGAAAGGTAAATTTGAGTAGATATATTCCTCTGAGACACATTATTTCTAAGTTAATCAGCTAGACATCAGGAAACAGGCAGAACACAGGAAGACATTATTGTGACAGGTAACATAGCTGTGCAGTGACAAATGTCATAGTATTTGAATATAAAGATTTGGCTTAATTTTCAAGGCCCTACAGAATTTTAGTCTTAGTTATTTACATATTTCCAATTAGTTCACATGCCATTAGTACTTAGTACTTTTTTCCCCCATGGCACTTCCTCCATCTAGAACATCTTCTATGTAATCTGTGAAGTAATTAGCACTTCTTTCATCAGATCCTTCCACAAGACAATTCGGACATGATACACAAATTAGACAATATTCAATATAGAGGCTGAAGGGCAGCTGAAGAAAATTGGTATTATAATTAGAAATCAAACCCATTCCCTGTATGTCTTCTGCTGCTCTAGGGCTTTTCTAAAATGGTAGCCAAGGAGTTACTTTTCTATCTACATACTAAAAATCTAGTCTATTTAAAGGAATGGTAGGTAGAAATAAGTTTGCATTCAGTTCAAGTGACCATACAACTCTCTATTTACACTGCATATCACAGTTTATCCAAAATTATATTTGAATGATTCTACAAAGTTTTTTTTTCAAGCGTGTTTTATTCTTATTTTTTTTTCAAGTGTGTTTTATTCTTTTATAGTATCATATTGATTCACAGAATGGTCACTTTCCCTATGTCTGCAAATGGAATGAAATAACATCATTCGTTCAATGTACATATAGAACACATAAAATATGTTATGCAATTATAGAGATACTGTATTACATAGAGATGCCTTGAATTCAGACTTCTGTATTACAAAATACAGGTTGGGCTAAAAACACAGTTCTGCACGACATCGAATAAAGCACTTCCTCTTCCAAACTAGATATTAAAAACAATAAACATGAAAAAATTCTGTGGAGGAGCACACTGAAAATTTGTACAATTTGTACAAGTACTGGTACTGAATGATTACAAATTTTTTTAAGTGCCAGACTTTTTAATAAGAGTGAATATTTTTAAAAGTCTGCTAATATGATGGAAAATCATCCATCTTTTTAATAGGTCTGAAAGTCAGTATTGGCATTCATAGAAGAGATTCTCTGTGACATTAAATTGAAGGAGTTCTACTGCTGACTGAAATAAAGGATACACTCAGACCAAAGAATAGTTTCTGTTCTAGGCTCACTCTCAATGTACCAATTATTTGAGAAAACCCATAGGAAGAGAGTACTTTAAAAAATGAGAAGGGTTTTTCTATTGCTCCAAGTTTGTGGGGATTTTTTGTTTGGTTTTTGTTTTTTTTGTTTGGTTGGTTGGTTGGTTTTTTTAATAA